TCACTTCAAAATCTGCACACACACATACACACACAAACTCCCACACATCCACATTCACACAATTCATCCCAAGATCATTGAAAAGCAGTGTCAATGTCCCCGGACTCTCTTTGTGAAGCAGGTGCTTTGAGTATTTCAGTGCTTTTTCAAAACATTAACTCACCATAATTTTGGAGACTTTTTGTTTTGACTTCTTTGACCTTTGTAACTTTACAGCCTCCGTCTAATAGACCCTTTCTGGCTTTCCTAACAGACTGCCAAAGAACCTGGAGGACAGCAGCCCATTCTTGGGCTTTGCTGAGCCTTGTCCCTGGCTCTCACTGTGAGTCTGCTCCAGCCTTTTGGCCACCTCCTGCTTCGATCTCTCTCTCCAGTAAGGAACTCCTGCCTTTTAGCCAACAGCCATGTTTACTGACTTCCCCATTAAGGTCCTTGGCTTACTGTTTCAGTCTATGTATCAACAGAACTCCTTGGCAACTTCCTGGGTCGCCTCTTGTCCCTCCTTCATCACAGACTGTTTTCAGCTTTTCAGATATAGCCTGGCAGCCTAAAACAACACTGTGCTGGCCCTATCTCTGGTTTTTATTCAGCCCCACACAAGTCTGATAAATAATGTTTTTCCTTAGCACCTTCTGCGTACCTGTTACTGTGATGTCAAGTAATACAATGTACCCAACTTCTAACTGCCCATGGTAAACCGCATTCTGTAATGCCAGAAGCTGGCATTTAGTGCTCCACTAAAGAGGCATTTAGACTACTCACGTGTTGTTTTGGTGAGACTTTCATGTGGGGATGACTGTCGCAGAAAGTGAAGGTATAGCTCAGTCTAAAGATCTCACTGAGTACAGAGGTTTGTTTTGTTGCTGGCACAGAAAGCTAGCACATAATAGCACAAACACAGAAACAAAGAATGTAAAAAGCATCCTAGGATCTGTAATTTTTTTTTAAGTAGGCCAAAGCACAAAATTCATGCGGTGGGGCTGGTACAATGGCTCAACTGGTTAATCTTTTGTGTACAAGCACCAGCATCCCATATGGATGAGGGTTCATGTCCCAGCGGCTCCTCTTCCAATTCAGCTTCCTGCTTATCGCCTGGGAAAGCAGTGCAGGATTACCCAAAGCCTTGGGAGCCTACATCTACATGGGAGACCTGAAAGAGGATCCAAGCTCCTAGCTTTGGATCAGCTCAGCTCCGGCCATTGCCGCCTTTTAGAGAGTGAACCAGCAGATGAAGTTCTTCCTTTCTCTGTTTTTCCTTCTCTATATAAATAAGACTCTGCAATCAAAATAAATAAATCTAAAAAGCAGCAATTCAAGGGGTGGGGACAGGGCTAAGAAGATAAGCTTAAAAAGACAAATAAGAACCAAAGAGTATCTGAGGGCAATGAAACGTTAAATGGTCCTAACTGATACCAGCTTTATGCTTCAGAAAGTGCTTGGTGTGAATGACTTTACTGGAAAATGGTGAGACTGGAGAAACATTAACTTAAAGGGTTTTCCAGTGAGTGAAAATACGAGTACCTTGCAGCAGGCTCGCAGAGGGATGGAGATGAAGACAGAGCATCCACATCCCAGTGCCTATGTCTGCGTCCAGGCTCTGTTCCACAGCCCGACTTGCTGCTCTTCTACTGCCTGTACTTTCTGGTTCAAATGACTGGGTGGCCAGGTTCCAGAGACCCAGGTGAGGGGCATGAATACGAGCTTCTGGACCTTTGAGGGAATAACTTATGATGAAAGTGAGAGTTCTCTTTCTTCTTTCTTTCCCAAATAAGCCTTTTTTCAAATATATAGACCAAAATAGTATCAGCTTTTGAAGAAAAAAAAAAAGGAAGTAATTGCAGAGCTAGAGAGGAAATAAAGCAATGACGGGTAAATCCCTGTTCTTGAGGGAGTCCATGTTTGGGATAATAATGCTACCCTACTAAAACATAATGGCATGTAAAATGTAGTCAGATTAGCTAAAAACAGTATATATACATATATATCTGATGGCAAAAGACAGTCTCTGAAAGGAAAACATTTAAAATATGTTGTAACAAATAATGTTCCACAGCAAATTTAAAGGAGCAAGACAATAAAACGCAACAGCAGATTTTTATCAAGGAAGAACAGGCCCGTTCACAGCATGTTTCCATGGTGAGCTACTTAGTAAGCCTGAGAACTGCTTGTTAACAAAATGAGAAACTTACTATCACACTGACCTTGGTAGCAATTTAAAAATAAATTGGGTATATAATATATAATAAAAACCCCTGATCCATGTTGAAATCCACAAGGATTCTATGGCCTTGCTCTCCTATTACTCATACAGATGCCCTAAACTCACTCACCCAGTACAGCTAGTCCCTGTCACGACTACTTTAAGCTCAGTCATCCTAATGACAACAAGTCTCTTAATATTCCACCTGGTTTTTAAAAAATCATATGGACAAATACACGCTCAAAGTAATTACTGTTTCCAGCTGAGGGAAGCATCCATCTTCCAGGATCTGCGCGGGCCAGCGTTGACTCACCTGGCCGGGGCCCTGGCTGCCCCTCTGCTGATCCAGCAGTGCGCTAATGCGCCTGCGACAGTGCGCAGACACAGTGTTGGGCTACCTGAGCAGCAAAGCCAAGATCCAGTTCCCCCGACCCTCTCTCTCTGCCTTTGAATAAACAATACTCCAAGAAGGATCCCTTATTCTGTTTACAAACATAGATTTACTGTGTTTGTGCACTGGGGGACTTTTTGATTTTTAAGGACAATTAAAGCAACAAGTTTACAGAAGTGAATAAGCATGGGTAAATTACACACAGTCTGCTAGTCAGGAGCCAATTTCATGTCAGAAAACATGTTCATTAGAATCTTGAATTTTCCAGTTGTGAAAATACATCATCCTGACGTCTTATGAATAGAGCTGCGGTGAGAAATAAATGCTCACGATGCTCATAGTGCACCCAGCTCCAAGTCTGGCATTCCTTAATGTAAACGTTGTACTACTAACGCCATATGCACTCCTGTTGCCAGGAGACGCTGAGGGCCTAGGTCAGTAAATACAAGATCCAGGACTCAAACAATCTACCGCAGGCTCACTGCTCTTGAATTACAAGAATTGAATTTTTAGAAAAAATTCTTTAAGAGGTCAAGAATTAATAGAAATATCACAGTAAACTTGTGGCTTCAGAGTCAGATGAGAAGGGAAAATACACAAGACAGTAAAAGCAAAAGTAATCTATGAAAGGAGCTCACCGGTGTAATTACAGAAATTACCAGGCTGAGAATGGAAAGTTTGTGACAAATGGCTAAAGCAATAAGATAATTTAGTCTGGGGAAAAAAAACAGTAGGAGGTAATAACTGAACAGAAACATGGTTTAGATACTACATACTCTTTTGCAAAGGTGGTTCAATGCTTCCCCAAGACCAGAAATTAAACCTAAGGAAAAAATAGCTATCATAAAATGGGCAATCTCCTGTCAATTTTGCCTGAGAAATAAAGAGGGGGCGCTCCTGGCCGGTGGCAGGGGATGGATAAGGTTATCCACGATTCATAGATGAAGTGGTTTTACATATGCAAACACATTATATATAATAGCAAAACCTACAACTATAGCAAGCTGCAGGTTTATAGGCAAATGCCAAAATTTGGAGTATTTTCATACAATAGATATTTTTTAAAAGAACATGTCTCAATTTTTGAGTCACAAAAATTATTTTTCAAATACCCATTTATTTACTAAAAAGGAATTGCTCATAGCCATGTCACGTAATAAAATTGCTGCCAGCAAGGAATTTCATTATCCATTCAAATTTCATGTAAGAATAAAATGTCACTTGTAACAAAGTCATTAAGCCTGAATTAAAATTTATGAATTAGGTATTACAAAGCTCTACTTTCAGGGTGATGGCTGACTCCAAACGTATGAGCAAACGGGAAAAAAGGCATTTTTATAGACAGAAAATCACTCATCATAATAAACAACATAATCGGGCCCAGCGCAGTGGCCTAGTAGGTAAAGTCCTTGCCTTGAATGCGGCCAGGATCCCATATGGTCTCCGGTTCTAATCCCGGCAGCTCCAATTCCCATCTAGCTCTCTGCTTGTGGCCTGGGAAAGCAGTTGAGGACGGCCCAAAGCCTTGGGACCCTGCACCCGCTTGGGAGACCTGGAAGAGCTCCTGGCTTCTAGTTTCAGATGGGCTCAGCTCTGGCCACTGCGGCCATTTGGGGACTGAATCATCAGACGGAAGATCTTTCTCTCTTTCTCTCCTTCTCTCTGTATATCTGACTTTGCAATAAAAATAAATAAATCTTTTTTAAAAATAAATAAATAAACAATATAATCATAGAAAGAAACTCAAAACTTTCAAGTTGACCATTGGCCTCAAATTTAAGAGAAAAAAATCAAATGCATTTTTATACATAATCTGACACAGTAATGAACAACTTAAACCCTGCATACAAAGAAAGCAGACCACACAGCAAAATGAGATTTTCAATGCATCTAAAATTTACCTAAGCAGAAATTACATAGTCACACCAGGGGGCGCTCTTAACACTGAAATGATGGATGCCATAGTTGAAAACACTTGGTGGTCTCAGTTGGCCAAATAAAAGAATTTTCTAAGTATGTAGTACTTCCAAAAAGTGCTTGTTTCTTGCAAATGTTTGCTGGCAACACATACATTTGCTTTTGCATCCAACTGTTGGTATAGTTAACTCTATCAAGTTAGTCCATCAAGCAAAACATTCTCGGCAGAGAGAAGTATTTCATTCTTCAGACATTTGATGCTAAGACTGGTACCTGTCTCATTCATTTTGCAGTGAGAACGGAACTAAATAATAAACAGTGATTAAAAGTACACACCACTTTTAACTGATGTTTTTTTTCCAAAATTTTCTGATTAGAACTTCATTTTTTCCCACAAAGAGAAAGGACAATTATCAAAGTATTGTAAAACAGACATTCACTGTTAAAGTCTCATCTAGGCAGTAGGAACCTTTCCTGCATTTGTTTCCTTACCTTGTAGGTGCTCTGCAGTCCAGTTGTTTGCCTCACCACCTTAAGATTTAGCTTCCTAAAAAATACAATTAGAGAGTTACTATCAGGCTACAAAGAAACAGCAAAAGACACAGGCAGATAGAGGTTATGCTATCCACAGAAAAACCACAATACACCACCCACCAACACTATTTTCACACAACTAACAACTGTTTAAAATAAATGTTAGGGAATAACTTGATGCTGAGATAAACATCCTACATGCGTGTGGAGAGGTGAGGCAGAGCGGGCCCATCGTGGAACAGAGGGTTCCACTGCTCTGGCTAGGACCACCTCCTAGGAGTTACCTGGAGAGCCACTGTTCCCTGCAGCCGGGCTCAAATGGGGAGCCAAAGTCAGGAGCTCCCCTGTGAGTTAGGCTCAGTGAAAAACAAATGCTACTCTCCGTGCCCCAAATCCAGCTGGCCGGCACACAAATCCCTAAACTGACCTTCAAAAACTACATTTTCTCATGCACTTATAAGGAATACACACACACACAAAAACACCGGAAGTGAAGATGTAGCTAGAGAATATCTTTCATTTAGTTTCTAGCTTGGACTAAAGTAAACACGAATTATATTAAGCCCTATCCAGAACTCAGACCTTAATGTTTTTTGAGGCTGTTGATGAGCAGGGAGAAATGAAAGAGCACAGTAAGGAAGACGAGCCCCAGACGAGAAGCCCTGTGGGAAATGCAAGGCAGAAGAGGTGTCTGAGATCTGCTGCTGCCGCGTTTATCCATTCTTCTGATCTTCACAGAAAAACATACTGAGGTTTAACGAAGCACACACAGTCTCATTCAGAGAGAAGTCACACCGGATGTAAAACAACCTGGCCTATGAAAAAGCTGCATGAGTCCCAACAACTCCCAACGCCAGAGCACTGCGATGGATCTTACTAGAAGCACGTCCTGAGCAACTGCTGAGAAGCAGCGTTTACCTCCGTTATGGGCGGAATAGTTTCCAGGGGGCATCAAGTGGCATATATTCATTTTTTTATGGTTTGTATTTATTTGAGAGACACAGGGAAAGAGACAGGCAGAGAAACAGACACGTGTTTCCTTTCTGCCTGTTCACCCCCAGTTGTTCCTACTGGCTGTGGCTGGCTTAGACCTTGAGCTAGAAACGGCAAAAGCAATCGAGGTCTCCCATGAGAGTGAGAGGAGCCCCACTGCTGGTGCCAATAAGCTGCCTCCAAAATCAGCAGTGGCCAGAAATCAAACTCACATTCTAATACGGAGCATGTCGTCTAAGTCACTGAGCAAAATGTCTGCTGCCGACATATATTTCAGATCAGGCCCTCATGTCAGCAGCAAATGAAGATAATTATGCTAAGCAAGAAATGTCAAGTTTAAAATCTTTGAGAAAAAAAGCAATTCTATCAGTACTTAAGATTCCCCAGGATGAGGTGAAATTGCTAATCTAGATGAGAGCAAGGCTAACTGCATTCATCCATTCAACAAATATTTAAGAAGCACCTCTTTATTTGCCAGAACATTCTTAAGGGTCTGAGTGAGATGTGGAAATAAAGCAGGCAGAATTCTGTGAACTTGTAACATTCTCATTCTTGTAAGGAATGATACACATACACTACGAATGCAATAAGTAAATTATAGAATGTGGCAATGTAAGTACCTTGTAAGGCAGTACATGAGGAAATTAGAAAACAAAGAAAAACACAAAACGGACTGCAGTTGCAAAAAAGTACAAAGGACAGCTCACATCTCCAATGCTTTACCAGGAAAGTCCCATGGCAGATGATGTAGTCAACCATGAAAATATCTGAGAGAAGGCTTCCAATCAAATGGAACAACCTCTTCCCAGGCCTTAAAGTGGGACATGTGGGTCCTGTTCAAACAGCAAAATGAAACCCAGTGGTTTGGGATGGAATAAGAAAGATATGGTAGAAAAGGCCAGAGAAGTAACAGAAGGCCAAATTACATCGTTTTTGCTGGAAAAAAAAAAAAAAACAACAAAAAAAACCCAGAAGATTCTTATCAAAACAGAGACAAGGTGAGAGCTATCATATTTTGAAAATAAGTAGGACACTATTTTATAATAAATCAGATGCTAGATTTAAGAGAATGAAGAGTCAAAGATGATTACAAAGGTTTTGAGCTGGCCCTTAGTGAGGCTAGTAAGAGTGCGGAAAAGCAAGCGACTGAGGAGGATGATCGCGCTGGCTTCGACCACGGACAGTGAAGAGGCCCATTACAGAAGAACGTAAGTAAGCAGGCGGTGGCAAAGCTAACACAGGAAACTAAGGGTGTTCCTGTACTGATAGTCATTAAAACATTTCAGGAGAAAACTCTAAGCCTACATAAGATAAGTGGAAGAAGAATTGTAGGTAGGTACACTCTAGGATTTCCGTTGTCCTTGTCTCCTGGTATTCGTGCACCCTGTACAATTCCTATCCACAAAAGCGTGGGCAGGAGCAGTAACTTGTTTGTAACCAACAGAGAAGTGTGACAATGCAGTCGATAAGATGTAAATGAATTAGTTTGGTTATATTATTTCCTTATATGCAATGATACTCCAGACCTTATTTGGCTTTTTCCCTCACCAATTTTCGTGAGAGAAACAGCCATATAGAGCACCCCACTTGACAGGGATTATGAGTAGTCTCCAATTGCCAGTTTGCAAAGATCTCCAGCCTCTAGCGAAACAGTAAGAAACAAGACTGTCCCTCAAGGAAGTTCTGATAACAACCTAAGCCCTACTAAACACATCCTTCTCTAGTCAAACATTAGAAGACATCCATACCCAACTGACACAACTGCAGCCCACAGAGAACTCCAAAGCTGTGCCCAGACTAAAGCCCTAAAACTGGGAGAAAATCAACATGCATTCTGTTAAACTGCTGTTTATGTTAATTCATTATACACCAATAAGAAGTAGCACTGCATCCTTCTTAAGTTCCAACATATGCAGGCCAATGAGATATGGAACAGGCTGGCAAAGGATGTAGGAAGAATGACCAGTGAAACAGGAAGAAAAGCAAGAGAAACTGCAGTGGCCAAGAGGATCTCCTGCAAGCCTCTTCACAAAGAACCAGTGACAAAACCAAGGGGGAATAAGCCTGCAGACATTCTAGAAGCCAGTGGCAATCACCAATGAAAGGGAAAAGCAGGAAAAGCCAGGTCCAGACACCTTCAGTGCAGCCTCAGGGTCCTGAACAGATGTATTTCCAAAGGGTGCTGAAAGGGGGTGAAACTATATGGAAACTGGTCAATCCTAGACAGCATACATTTAACTGTTGCACTGGCAGTTCTCCTTTCACGTGGGAGTAGAGATGCCGACTGCAACATACCATCACTTTGCAGTATGCTAGTCTCCAATACACAGTTCATCTACGAGAGTATATGTATATGCGTGTTCACCTATATAGCGTGGTATTTTGTATACATGTTGTCTTGCATCAGAGAGAACAGACAACATTTGCCTTTAGGGATTGGTATATTAAAATGAGCATTCAGTCTTAATGGGCGCCTTTGTAAGGACAATTAGTGCCAGAGTTGTGCAACTTCACCGCCTATGAGGCTTTGAAGGTTGGAATTTCAAAACTGGCTAACACATAATAATAAAGTCATCTCAGTTACTAAATAGATAAAATAGGCTATTTTTATACTTTTCATTGTTACAAGACATCCCGAAATTGGCTTTTAATTTATTTTTTAAAAAATCATTACAACCAGCTCTAATAAGCTAGTCTTGTATTCAAGGCCTTGAGCTGACAAGGCTTGCTCAGTGAGAGAGGCTAACCTGATTTTGTACATCCGTACTTTGTATGCAAACAAATGTTATTTATAAAGTACTGCTGCTACTGTCACACAAAGACTGGTTTGTACATTTATGTGATTAATATTCAGCTTTTATCTGATTTATCTATGGTGAGCATCCCATTTTCCTATAATGCTTTGAAAGCAATTTCTTCTCTATTAATTCAATTCAATGAAGATGCATTGAACACTTACACAGTTAGATAAAAGTGAAATTTGAATAAAAAAGAAATATTAAAAGTTCCTGTTCTACAACATATCCAAAATAGGTCTTTCTTTTGTCTTCAATATACTTTGTGTGTGTGTGTGTATGTGTACATTTAATCATACTTATCTATACATCCAGTACATACTTAGCAATGCAGCTGTTCCTTGCTCGACCAGCTTTTCTCAGGATTTGTTCCATCATTAATTGGCTAAAACACTGAGCCACTGCTCATGTGTTTTATTTAGTTTAATGATCTTCATTAAGCTCACAAATGGCCTTTTGAGAAATACTTAAGTATAAGACTAAAACATGGCATGAAGAGTTTTCAACTGATTTTGTTACTAACAGCCTCTCTATTTTCTTTTGTATGCCTTTCCCCATTTGAATATAAGCCCCTACATGGCAGAAAATTCGATTTGCTTTTCACTGATGTAAATTTTGGCTCATGGGAGGTATTCAATAAACTTTAATTGACCAACTTCTAAGATATAAATATGCAATTAGAAAAGCAAATGGAAATAGTTTTAGACAAATGCATATCAAGTACAGCTGAACAACGGCCTACAGCATGTTTCAGTCATAGCTTTATTCAAAAATTTGTTAAATTAACTGGAGAATCATCATTTTTAAATGCCCATGTAGTTAACTACCACACTCAAAAATTCAATCTAGCTCTGATTTCTCACAACTGTTACAAAAAATGGAAGCAAACTATGTAATCATATTTCCAACAAAAGAAAAAATGTCTTTGTATTAACAATAAAAGTTATTCCTGGATGATAAATTCAAAGCAGAATTTATTGCAAGGATCATTACGGCAAAAATCACAAAATGTATCTTCTTTAATGGTCTTCTGAAAAGAGACAGATAGAATGACTTCAAATTGCTAACATTAGGAATCTTGAATTAAATACAATGTAAGACTCAAACATTTATCCTCTAGTCCCACTATCACTCTCTGCATTACTGTTGAGCATACCCTAATTATCTATAAGGACGTGCTGGTAAGCATACTTAAGACCGATCTTGTTTTTTTTTAAGGCAGGCT